ATGAGAAAGGCTGGCTTACTTAAAATCGGTCACTGATTAGTATCTTGCAGGACAATTTGGAAAAGCACATTAAATTTCAGGAAGTATGTAATGTGGTAGGAAGATTTAATAGAAATAAAGGAGGAAGAAACATGAGTGAAATTTAATGACCACTTGAGACATTTATCTATTGTAGCAGCTTGGAAATTAAATACTTGAAACTTGAATTCAACTAATCAAAATTTTAACAAACATCTGAGATAGTATGCCAAATTTTGATCACACTATAACACTTGTCTTTAATATCATCTTTCTGGAATAAATGTCTGTTTTAAATTCATGTTGTGGAAAAATCAGAAATTCAAAGTTAACAAACAAAAACAACCTAAAAATTATCTGTATTCTAACTATTTAGAAATGGTAAATGCTGTTTGGTATAAACTCTTTGGAATCTTATTCGTATAGATGACCCTATAAATACACATATGTGTGTATGTATAGATATATAAAAACCCACAAATACATTCACCTATCACAATATAAAATTAGTTTAAAAATTTAACTCATGGCCAGCGCCGCGGCTCACTAGGCTAATCCTCCGCCTAGCGGCGCCGGCACACTGGGTTCTAGTCCCGGTTGGGGTGCCGGATTCTGTCCTGGTTGCCCCTCTTCCAGGCCAGCTCTCTGCTGTGGCCAGGGAGTGCAGTGGAGGATGGCCCAAGTGCTTGGGCCCTGCACCCCATGGGAGACCAGGAAAAGCACCTGGCTCCTGGCTCCTGCCATCGGATCAGCGCGGTGCGCCGGCCGCGGTGGCCATTGGAGGGTGAACCAACGGCAAAGGAAGACCTTTCTCTCTGTCTCTCTCTCTCACTGTCCACTCTGCCTGTCAAAAAATAAAAAAAAATAAAAAAAAATTAACTCATATTAAAAAACTTACATAAGAAAATCTATTACCTTTATAATTAACATGAAACTGCAAAATCTCTCACATTCAATTCTTAAGGCTAGGACTGTCTCATATTACCTGAAACCCTCCTAATTCATTTTAGACCACAATGATCTTTTCCCCATTTAACACTCGTTACTTGTATGAGTTCATCAAAAAGTTCATTGAAAATGTAAACTTTTTGGCCGGCACTGCGGCTCACTAGGCTAATCCTCCGCCTTGCGGCACCGGCACACCGGGTTCTAGTCCCGGTCGGGGTGCCGGATTCTGTCCCGGTTGCCCCTCTTCCAGGCCAGCTCTCTGCTGTGGCCTGGGAGTGCAGTGGAGGATGGCCCAGGTGCTTGGGCCCTGCACCCCATGGGAGACCAGGAGAAGCACCTGGCTCCTGGCTCTTGCCATCGGATCAGCGCGGTGCGCCGGCCGCAGCGCGCCGGCCGTGGGCGGCCATTGGAGGGGGAACCAACGGCAAAAGGGAAGAGCTTTTCTCTTTCTCGGCCTCTCTCTCTCTCACTGCCCACTCTGTCAAAAAAAAAAAAAAAA